TCGCAACCGATTATTTGACGCGTTACGCTGAGACGAAGGTGTTGCCACGAGGGACCGCATCTGAAGTTGCCAGTTTTTTTATGCATCAAATTGTGCTACGGCATGGCGCCCCGTCACATGTCATCACTGATCGAGGGACATCATTCACAGCGAAACTCTTGGATGATATCTTCAGGCTGAGTTACACAACCCACCGAAAGACCACTGCGTATCACCCTTAGAGTAATGGTTTAACAGAAAGGCTAAACAAAACGCTAGCTGACATGATCTCTATGTACGTGGATGTGCAGCACAAAACGTGGGACGACATCCTGCCGTACGTAACATTTGCGTATAACACTGCAACGCAGGAAACTACACGCTTCACACCATTCCGGCTCGTTTATGTTCGAGATGTTAGAACTATGCTGGACGCCATGATTCTATATGAGGACATCGACAAGCTCGACCAATTAGCTCCCGACATCAATGAGTACATTCAGCGCGCTTAGGAAGCACGTCAACTGGCCCGTGTGCACATTCGAACTCAACAGTGCGCAGATGCACGGCGGTACAACACCCACCATCGAGAAGTCAATTATGAACCTGGTGACCAAGTTTGGGTTTGGACACCCATTAGGCGGCGAGGTCTCAGTGAGAAACTCTTGAGGAAATACTTTGGACCTTACAAAGTACTCGGACGTGTGAGCGACGTGAACTACGAAGTGGTTCCAGACGGAGGCTCGCCATCATCCCAGCGCAGGTTACCACGCCCAGAGACTGTACACGTAGTCCGCTTAAAACCATACTTTACGTGGTGACGCGAATTTTCTTCTTGTGCCAGTGAACACTTCATGTGAACAGTGAATGCCGTTTATTTCCGATTGCCGGGCCCAGGACGCATTTTCTCTCGTGCACTAATTTGTTTAATGTTTCTTTATGTTACCTACTTCGACCCACTGCTGTGCACACTTTTGTTTGAGCATCGGGTCGATGCTCTCTTGGGAGGAGGAGTAATGCCACCTGGTGTTCTGTGCCAGTGAACAGTGGGTCAGTTCTGGCCGGTGAACGAGGAAGACGAAGACGAGCAACCCGTGCCAGCGGAGACGTCCTTTTTTTGTCTCTGAGATTTTGGACAGTCGCGTCCCTTTGTACGTTCGTTCGAGCTTTTAGCGCGTGACAATATATTTAGCTTCATTTCATAGCGTGTCGCTCAATAACAAAATTACAACACGATCACCTTCCCTTCGCATGCTTCGCACAACGTCGACTCCCAAGGTACGTGGGATGAGCCAAATTTTTCCGACTGGAACAAATGCGTAGGGTCTAGTAGACGCCGTAAAAATGTATGACATCACGACATCTGATGCGCAAATTTCAAGGTGCCGTCACCATCCACATTTCCTTTCTCCCCCCTCCCCCCCCCCCCCTTTTTTTTTGCTCATTTTCTCGTCTTTCAGGCGTCTTCTCACGGCAAGGATGGGTATTTCCGAAACTGTTAAAAATAATGTACTAACCTGGGAAAAAAATGTTTTCTACTTGGTGATTTTTTTTTTTTTTTTGAAATCGCGTGCAGACTCCGCATAAAGCTTGAAAGCCGAGCGGATAAGAGGTAAAAAAAGAAAATCGACAGATCACACGTACCCTAGTAATCAATGTCATGCGAAGCATATGCGGAAGGAACGTGACTGTGTGTGTGTGTGTGTGTGTGTGTGTGTGTGTGTGTGTGTGTGTGTGTGTGTGTGTGTGTGTGTGTGTGTGTGTGTGTGTGTGTGTGTGTACAATCGCATATGTTTTATATAACCGTTTTTTTACAGTTGGATAACGATGCAAACAACATGGTAATTACACCAACGCCACAAGTGGTACGTTGACATGAAGCGCAATTGGGAGGATGATATGCCTGGATAGTGCTACGTAGACCAACTGCAGTGGATGGCGCTTAACTATAAAAGACCTTAACTTTACGGGATGCCTGCCACCATAGGAGTATAAATGTTACGCTTATAAAATTAGAAAGCCAGCACCGCAACCACAATTGACATTTCACCAACATGACGCCTGCATGAATTCGTTTTTTCCCAAAGGTGTCTTGAAACCCGGCGTAGCTTTGAGGTGTAATACTTGATTGCCACACAGAATGTTTAGGATAGATTCCTGCTGGGACCCTAATATTTATTGTTAGTATTCATTGGGTTGAAGCTGCCGATGTCAGTTACCCTTAAAGCTCTCGTATTTAAACTACAGATGTGTTTCTCGCACTTCCTGAGTACATACAGACGGTCAATAACCTGTGACACGTACCCCCATACCTGTGGCACATACCCCCCCCCCCCCCTCCCTCCGCAGTATGCATTATCTGTCCCACGTACTTGGTCGAAAAGGTCTGACAACGTACGCAACGGGATTGACACACTATTGATATCGTGACCCTTGATTCATATTCGTCAAAACATCTTACCCTGCGACGCTAATTTTGGTTCTCGCCAAGTTAAGGGGGTGACCATGAGAGCACCGAGACATAAGCGGCTAGACAGACAGACAGACAGACAGACAGACAGACAGACAGACAGACAGACAGACAGACAGACAGACAGACAGACAGACAGACAGACAGACAGACAGACAGACAGACAGACAGACAGATAGACAGATAGATAGATAGATAGATAGATAGATAGATAGATAGATAGATAGATAGATAGATAGATAGATAGATAGATAGATAGATAGATAGATAGATAGATAGATAGATAGATAGATACTTTCAGAAAGAAATGATTCGCATTTGAAATAAAGAGCAGTCTTAAGCACCGTGCTCTCGTTTGTGGCTTATATCGCGTATGCGTGTGTCTTCTTTATGTGCCTCCCTTGGGATCTGCGGCGCATATATATTGTGGAGTCGTAATGATTTTTTATTTATTTTTATTTATTGGTACTGCGATCTTTTACTAGATCATAGCAGGGGTGGTACAAAACATAAACATAAACATCAGTGGAAACAGGCAAACAAACAATCAAAAAACAAATGTAATACAAACTTATGTAACTGATAGCTACAGTGATTCTTCGAGACAAGAGAATCAACAAAAAGCAAGGTACAAACATAGATAACAATCATTTCTGCAGTGACTCTTCAAATGCAGACAATGTATTTAGGGTAACAACATCGTTATGTAGATTGTTCCAATCCACGATAGTCCTCGGAAAAAAAGAATATTTGAAACAATTTGTTCGTTGCATCAATGGAGATAGTAAGATTGTGTCTCTGTCTTGTTCCGTAACCCAATGAAAAGTGAACAATATCTGATGTGTCAACTGCATAGTGACCTTTTATTAACTGGAAAAGAAATTTTAAGCGCAATATTCGATTTTGGTCCGGAATGTTTGAAAATTTGCTTTTCAATAGAAGTTTTGTAATCGAAGTAGGACCGTACGAGTTATAAATGAACCTAACAACCTTTTTTTACACCCTTTCAAGTTTTTGGATATCAGTCTGAGTGAACGGGGTCCCATATGACCACAGCATACTCCAGTATAGGACGGATAAAATGTCCCCTTTCGCAATGCCCTTTTCACGGTACTTAAGAGAATGCGAGTTGATGCTGCACTTTTTTTTTATTATGGTGCATGGCATTTTATGCCTGCAAGAGATAGCGTATGCAAATTACAGGTCTTAGCGAAGCAGTGAATGAGGACATTGCCCGGGAAAGATAGTAGTGACTGCGAAGAAGGTCAGATAACTCCCGATAGAGTCCTGACAATTGTTCTATTTTGCTCTGTGGTTACTGCGTGCTTTCTTAGAGTACTTTTTCGTTGGGAGGCTTTTCGGCACGCTGTGCTTAGATACGCTGTGGTGGTGACTAATAACAGAAACGCCACAATTTACTCCACGAAAGGTTCGCCATCTGGATAAAACGGGATTTCAGTGGCGACTACTATATTCATATATCGTACGAAAAGTAAATGCAATACCTTCGCAGTGCGTTGCAGCGGTTGATTGAAATGTGGGGTTTAATGTCCCAAAACCACCATATGATTGTGAGAGACGCCGTAGTGGAGAGCTCCGGAAATTAAGACCACCTGGGGTTATTATACGTGCACCCAAATCTGAGCATACGGGCCAACAGCATTTTCGCCTTCATCGAAAATGTGGCCGTCGCTGCCGGGATTCGATCCCGCGACCTGCGGGTCAGCAGCCGAGTACCTTGGCCACCAGACCACCTGGGCGTGGCTGCGTTGCAGTGGTTCATGCATTATATATACCTTCGTCAATCTCGTGATTCAGTTCCGCGGTTCCCCGGTGATTCCTTCACCGGTGAGTCCAAGCGTACAGCTGACAAATAGGTGCGCGTGAGAAGCAAAACTCAGCGAATCCGAGGTGGTTTATTTCTTTCGTCCGTTCTGACGCCATCTTTGTCCCATGGCAACGCAAGCCCAACGAATTGTACGTAGCTCTGTGAGCACTGAAGCTACGAGAAAAAGACCAGAGTAGTTGCTCAGCTTGCCATGGAAGTACCAATAAGATACTCTCTAAGGCCATTGGACATGCCACAATTAAAAAACAAATTCCGCTTTGTCCTTGGGATCCGAACTAACCAAACTTTCGGTGTTATGTAGCTTGTAGTCTGAAGTAACAAAATTAATATTTATGTTGCTTCATGCATGGATCCAAAATTTGGCCGAGCAGAATTTCGCCCCTTTTTGACGAGTCCCGAACACACTGACACAAGCCGCGTAATTGTTCTCGTGCGAACGCTGTGCGCAATCATCAACTTTTACGCAACAAAAGGCAGACATGGACCCAACCATTACGCTGAAAAAGAGAAACATAAAAACTAGTTTTTGTATTAATTACAGATGCTGGCAAAGTCAAAATGTCGTGTTTCGCCCCGCGTCTCGTTTTAGCCCACCTTACCCTATACACATGTATTCATTCGCTTCGAAATAACTCGTGAATAGAATCGCATCTGGTAAGTCCAGTTAGTGCATGAGATGATACTAAATAGTATGGCTGAGTCTGAGCAGACTGTGCTTTATTACAAAGGGTATTGCACTACATACGTTTTGTTTTGTTTTGCATGGTCACCGTCCTGATTTAGTGATACCGGTTGAATCTTCAACTACCGTTTATCGGGAAGTTCAATGGCTGGAGTAACTCTGATTTGAGTGTTAAGGTTGCCCAAACAGGTGAGAAAAAAACGTAATCGTGAAGTTCATTCGGTGGCTTTGGGCTTGATTGTTCTAAAGACTGACACTCAGACACAGCCCAGAAGTTTAACTTCGTTCACCGTTCAATGCCGTGCCTTTGTCGACATTGATTTCACCGAGGCAAACAATACTTAGTATTTTTAAATATTTAATATTTTTCTACCGGTGCCTCTTCTCACGATGTAGAGGCGCAGTCTTTTAGTTTCGAGCAGGTCTTCGACGAGTTGGTGCCTTTTCTCAACAATATGCACCCTTCTCTCACGCGATAGAACAGCCACAGCAAAGATACAAACATCGTCGTTCCACCGATGACGCTGAATAAGCCAGCGTAGTCTCCGCGAGTGTCTCTGAAGAATCCTGCAAACAGAGAACGAAAGCGGACCATCACATTCGCAAGTCACGAGGGAAATACAAAAGTACAAACAGAGAGATATATATAATAAGCGTGGGAATGTTCGATATCATTACCGTACCAGGGTATGAAGATTTCTTGTCGAAAATACCAGCTGATCTTGAAGTTGGTGCAGTAGAACTGGACGTCTCGCTAAGGCACGTGACCCTGACTATTGTGTTCACTTGAACACTACTAGCAGTCATTAGCGTTCGCTGATGTTGGTTAGCTAGATGATGGCTGTTCGCTAAATTAACACCAATTTGGGCTATTCGCTGTTATAACATCGACATAGTAACCTTACAATATCAGTCCAGTGGCTTCTGTACCTTGTAGTGAGTACTTGTGCTATTTCAAAAACAAACCTGGGTGTAACAAAAACAAACCCTATATACGCATTCAGGTTCACTAATTCAAATTCGCATTGCACATTCAAGAGCTTAACATGAGTTCCGCGGCAACTTGTGGCCTACCAGTTAGCTCACACCTACGTGGCGTCAGCAGACGTAAACCAGGCCTGACTAATATACAAGCCACTTATGTAGTTGGTATACAAGTGGCGCAAAAGTAGCGCAAAAAAAAAGACGAAGACATGAAAGTGAACACTACAAACACTTACCGCCGTATTCTAGAACGTTCGTTCACTCAATGCTTCACTTCGACTTGAAATAGTCGATGGGAGCACCGTCTTTTCGCAGACCAAGTCGCTGCATATCGGCAATAATCTGCAGCGATTTTTCAGGAGCGCAGCGTCAATTTCAGTCGAGCAGCGGCGCAGTGCTCAACAGTATCAAGTGAAGGGTGGAATTCGAGTCGAGGAGCGTTGCTCGATACGGGGGTTACTCACAACTGAATGCTTTGCCCCACTCCGGTGGTCTGCTGTGGCTAAGCTACTCGGTTGCTGACCCGCAGGTCGCGGGATCGCATCCCGGCTGTGGTGGCTGCATTTTCAATGGAGGCGAAAATGCTGTAGGCCCGTGTCCTCAAATTTCGGTGCACGTTAAGGAACCCCAGGTGGTCGAAATTTCCGAAGCCCTCCAATACGGCGTCTCTCATAATAATATGGTGGTTTGGGGACGTTAAACCCCACATATCAATCAACAACAGAAAGCTTCATTGTTTGAAAAGCAAATATATATGTAAATTTGACGCTCGACTAAATTCCCACGCATGCGCATCGTGGACAAGGTGCAAGGCAAATACTAGGACATGAACACACCTCTTTGAATTCCTCCCTCCCCAAAGCCTCCCCCTTTCTTTGAGTAGTATCGCTTCCTATTCCGATATGGCCAAAGCTATGTGCGTCAGTAATCCTCCCTTGGTCATGTCGGAAATGGAAGTGATACTACTTAAAGAAAAGGGGTATACGTTCTTGGGGGAGGTTGGTGGAAGAGCTGGTTCATGTTCTGCATGGTATTTGCCTTTCGCCTTGCCCACGATGTGCATGCGCGGGAGTTCGTCGATCGTCAAGTTTACATATATATTTCCTGTTATGGCTTTCAATTTTTAGTATAGGCGCTTGTAGAGCTCACTTTCCTGTCCTCGTCTTTTTTGCGATACTTTTATGCCACTTTGAATCAGTACTAACTAGCTTGCCTATCCGTTTTGGTATACAAGCCTTCACAGCTCCCCTCCCCCCCTCACTTTTTTTATCACACCTCTCGTTAAGCATTCATGCGAGGCAAATTCATGATTAAGTTCTTGTACTGTTTCAAGACTGGCCGCGATTGAGTATTCACCATGACACGACACAGCGACAAAGCAAAGAATTGCACAGGCAGCAAGAACATGTTGACAAAGTTGACAAAACGTATGCTCTGAGTGTTGCACATTCGTGTATGACCTTATACTTTCGCGTTACCCGTTATTCTTCCAAAATATGAAACATCGTTTAGCCATTTACGCTCCAAACGCAATATTCAAGTCGCCTTAGAGACTGCTTTCGCTTACCGATTAATAAAGGCCTGGCGAGTCCCGCAAGTCCGGCCACTGCATTGGCACATCCGAAACAGACGCCGACCTTGTCGAGGCCTACCAGCTCCATGAATATCACCACAACGAGTATTATTGTTGAGCCGTTGCACCAGCCGAACAAGACTGACATAGCAACGAGGCTAGGGTACGAGCTGCACAACGGCACCAGGCAAAGCGATGCTCCCCAGAGTGCTAGGTGAGAGCCCATCATGGTGCTCTTTCGCAGGTACTTTTTGTCCGTGATCCAACCAGAGCCGAGCCGCGCTATCAGGTCACTCACTGCGTAGACAGATATCAGGTATACCCCGCTCCACGCAGATATTCCTCTGTCCACTCCGAAGTCGACTACGACAGTGTTGTACGTCGTCATGTTAAAGTGAATGATAGTGAAAGAAAACGTTGTGAGATAGTACTCTGGTAGCAACAGAAAAGAAAGGAAGTGTTCTCTATTGGGTCTCGTAAGTCTATTGCTCAATGGCCTAAACTGAACTTCATTTTTCCCGACTGGATCAGATAAAGAGCATTTCTCTTCCGAAATGTTATCGTCCTTTTTCCCGCAGCTGAAATCATCCGCGCTACTAGCGTCCATTGCTTGTTCCTTCATATCGCAACTGATGTCGCGTACTTCGCTTGGGAAAAGACGTGTCATCTGGCAACACTGATCACGAGTCCCGTTGCATCCGCAAGTACTTGTGTCATCGAGTATTTGAGAGAAATCAGATCTTTTATCGGATCTAAGGGATTCATCTTGCCGTTTGGGGATCACGCTTCTTCCATCTGCATCATGGTTTGAGGCGCCTTTTTTATCTTCGTCCTGTTGAGCTGGTGGCGGAGTGCGTTGCAGCAAAGCACCGGCCATCGAATTGAGGATTATTGCTCCAAATATTAAGAACGTGCCGTGGATTCCGTATTTTTCCTCCAGCGCCTTCATGGCAGGAGGGAAGAGTAATCCTCCAACTGTGAAGCCGGCGTTGGCGATCCCGGAGGCCACTGCGCGGTACCTGAGAAAGTGCTGGTTTACCACGATGCTGAAGAGACTCAGTAAGCCGATGCTGGTGCCTGTATTAGAATGAAAGCATTAAAATAATTACAATATTGTCCAGTTCGACAGGGATAAAACGACAGCATTACAAGGCACTCTGTATAGATGGGAGGAGGTATATTGTGGTTTAATTTTCACCCCAAGTAGAATTCCTTAACTAGCGCTGAGGGGAAAAAGATACAAATCAGATTTTAAAAATTATACCTTCTTCAAGGATGTATGCATGAGGAAATGGGCGGCTGGAACACATAAATTGTGTATAGGGCTAGTTGGCTCTATTGTAACCTACTTTCCAATGTATGCGTAACTATTAAACAGAAATGCATTCGTACTACCAGCGGAACATTGTCTCGCCGAAAATTTTCAATTTTCCTGCAAAGCAACATGTGCACACATGGAATATTAATGCACCGCCTCTATACCCAACGACACATGGCTACATGAGCCCGCTCTGGAGCGTACCGGACACCCTGGCACACTTGCTCCTGGAATGCCAGTGCCATGCAAACCAAGACATGCAACCGGAGCGGAACCAATCACCCAGAACGACCGATAACTACCTAATCGAAACGTGGTGGGCACATCTCGTCCTCGAGGACCTGGAAGACCAGCGGCAACTCGTCGCCAGGGCCAAGAGGGCAGGCGAAGCCAGAGGGTTCCTGGACTAGGGAACCCTCCCACTTTAGGGTGGTACCGGGCATCACTCGGAACAGTGTTTCGAAATGAACGTTTATTTCTGTCTGTTTTGCCTATATACACTCACACAAATTAAATGCGGTTGACCCCCCCCCCCCTTTCCGAAAAAAATTTCTGGCTACGCCCCTGGCTATGCACACAGAATCCGCCTGCTATAAGCAGCGTGTCCACCTCTCGTGCCGGCCTGTGGGCATCTACCACTAGTACCACAACGAGTGACTGTCGGGCGGAGCAAGCTAATGGGAGAGGGTGTTTTCCACTTGTCACGGGCATCTGATGAGGCTAGGCCAAGCTCAGTGGCGTGCGCTTTAGCGTGACGCGAGTGCAAATCATTGCTCGGGCATGTTCAGACACGATTCTCCGTACAGGGAAGACCAACGCATGTTTTGCGCCAGATAAAAAGGCCTGGGGTAGAAGCCACGGTGGCTGTATGTCACCGATTAATGGCGGTTCCCTGTGCTCGAGCCGCGCGGGGTTAGCACTCAAGCTAGCTGGGGAATGAGTCACCAAAGGGGAGGGTGCGCTTGATGCATGCACTGTATACGAGCTTGCCTCGGTTTATGTAAGTACATCATATGTTGGTTAAAAGTAATCGTAATGTTCCATTGTTAAATATTGTGAATATTTCTTTCAAATAAAAAGTAGAATGTTTAACTGTTTCTAATAGTCACATAATCATTTAGGACTGTATTGAAAACGTTTGCCTTACTTTTCGAAAGACACTGGATTCGTATTCGATCCGATGTCACCATCATTCGATTCATATTTGATTCGTTTCTAAAATTCACTCCTCGCACCCCCCAATTATTATACCCGAAGAAAATGACACATACCGTGAATGAAGCCCAAGAAGACGTCTAGGAATGCCATAGAGGGCGCGAAGAAGCAGGCGGATATGGCGAGCGAAGACCCTAAGCAACCGACCATGGACAGCTTCCATATCGGTACGTACCTTGCCAGCACTCCAGCAATGGGACCTGCAGCATAAATTCCGTGGGCATGATGCGGAACAGCAAGAAAGATTTCTTGAGAGTTACACTGTAATCACAGTCAAATAAGTCGATATTTGACAGGAGGCTGTCATTTGAATTACAGACATAATTAAACATCTAGATGACGTTGTAGTGTGGTCGTGTAATGACCGTTAATTAATAAATGCCGCGAAAATGAAATATTTCGGCGTGCGAGAGAATATGATTACCAGAGTGGCATTTTTTCTCCCAAAGAATGAAACTCGGGAGCTCTTTGTTTTCTGAACCAGTCGTTGTTCGTTGTGCATTACGTGCAGTATGCAATTTGAACTGAAATACAAAAAAAAAGTATCTATCACCTCATTCATATGTCATGTTTCTTCGCCCAATTATCTATGTCCCCTTCATGCGACGAGTTTCCACTCGCACCGCCGGCAAGCTATGTGAAACGTGTTTCGTTCATAAAGTTCATTTGATGGAGCACGCTATATAGTTTCTTTCTCTGTGTCTACCCCACCAAACTACGGCCACCAGGCCCTGAATCAGATCCAGTGACCTCGCGAGTACGGGGGACCAGCGCTGGATAGGTGGCGCGCCGAAAAAGAGCACCTGGCAGAGAGTCGCGCCACAACTCAGCTGCTGGTGCACTGAGGACCAACCGCAGTGCACCACTCGGAGAGCACGCGCGTGCGCCACTGCCGCGCTTTATTGTGGAACGAACAGCTCGAAAAGCCATTGCGCCAGTAATACTGCACTGTGGTTTAGAAAAGTAACTTTGTCCGAAGGCTTCTCTCGCATAAAAAGCACTAAAAAAACGCAGAGAAGCCCTGCAAAGCGGACTGCGTTTATGCATATATTATCGAAGGGACAGCGCTGTGCCGTGGTGGTAGCTCCCTCGTCCTCATTTTCTAGTTGCATGTTTTGGGCTAATGCTAGTATACTGGCTGACACGCCCCCATTCATAAGTCCGAGCTGCGACGATATTACGCTGCCAACATCTGCCGTAAAACAAAACAAAAGCAGAGTCACTGGTAGCTGCGTCATTTTTTTTTTTTGTATCGTTTGTACGCCCTGTTCGTGGTATCTATGCACGGGGACGTTGATCAAGCAAACCACCGTGGCAGCAAGGCACGTGTGGTGTCGCACTACTATTCTTGAGGGCGCGGAATAGAACAGCGTTTACCTTAAAATGATATTTTGTTTGGCACATGAAAGCCTAGCAATTATCGATGTTGAACAGACACCTTCATTTCAGGCCAACACAGGCAAGTGGAAAAACTGAAATTGTGTTGTTAGGCGATCTAAACGACGAGGGAAAATCGAAGACAATTGATATTTCTCTAGCGAGACATAAATTGCGATGTTATTTAGCCACGGCAGTCAGTGAGAAAAACGCTTACTGCATCGGCTGACTCCAGAAAGCTAAGCTTCGAGTTGTCCACTGTTTTGTTCGTAACAAAAACCTTGTCTTTTGCATTAAGTTAAACGGAGGCATATCTCTGCATCGACAGTTCACCGCGAGAGTGTCTTGACAGCTCAGAGGCGTAGTTTAGGTGAACGTGGCCCCACACAAGCCTTGTGGACAAGGCAGCTTTCCTTTACACGCAACTGTTCACACACACACACACACAAAAAAAAAAAAAAAGACTACCTGCCTATCGTATCATTCACTTCACGCGGTGGCATCGGAGTTTGGTGGTGGTGGTCAGATGGATGGACGCATAGAAACTTTGTTACTCCTGAAGTGCACGACTCAACGCTCAGTGGGCCAGATAAAAAAATGTTTAAATAGGCCGTATGTTGCATAATACGCTCGTTCTATTTCCGGCAAAACGTCGTTCAAACTCGACTGTTTGGCACTGGTGGCTGTCTTCATTATCGAATAAATATAGCAGACACGCAACGTTCGGTTTAGAAACGAGCCCGACAGCCCTAGACAGGAGAGCGAGAGCAGAATTTTGCTCGCAGCTGACCGCTTGGATGCAACGCCGCCTCCTCTTTCTACGTCCTCCCTCTTTTTATATATGGTTGCACTAGAATATGCAGCAGTACCGCCAGCGCCCTTTGGTTTTGTTACGACGATGCGCTCACGCACCGCTTCCTCCAGCCGCCACTCTCGTCTGCGGGAGCAGCTGAGAAGTGCGCGCTCTCACCGCCAGGGTGGTCGTGGAAACTCCAGTGCTGGTTCCCTCATGCTGGGGTAGCCTAGGCATGCTACCGCGGTGGCTTTCTTTGCATATCCGTAATGTGCTAGTGACTTTCCCGCTGCGTTGTTACACTGATACAGCCACGGCCTTAACCGTTTTCCGGGCAATTACGCTGTGACTAATGCTGCCGATTGCATGTATCACTGCAAGACGCGGAAATGCAGCTGCCATATCATGAGTGTATAATTACACGCAAGAAATAAACATATAAGAAGCATTATAAGAAGACCCGAAGAACAGTAAAACTGCAATAAATAAATGCACACAACTACACACACAGTGCACAACGCAACACGGCAGTAGTTGCCGCATTATACTTGACTCCAGCATGAACTGAGTAAAGAAAAGTGTTGGCTACGTTTCCTTTCTTACCCGAGTTCGCACAGATTTTCTCCTACGCACTTCACATCGCTCTTTCGCGAAAGACAGTCACAAGCAGTTGCCGCAACAAAAAAAAAAAAAAACATAGCTGTTTTAGGTGCCATGAAAGCTGTTAACGAGGCAGGAGTGTTTGCTGAAGGTTTACGCGTTATAGCTTTACCTAAAAAGAATTTTTCTAGATTCACCACTCTTCTGTTATTGTGCTCGTTAGAGATTTAAGCAATTTGCGAACGCCACAGATAACAATACTAAGCATAACTGCACTTTTCGCAAAATCTCAATAATGTAGTTGATTCGAATACATGTACCGGCAGAAAGAAAACCTAATAAACACGACCGGTGACTCACTTCTATGAGCCAAGAAATTATTAGCCCGCAAACATGCTGCGCAGCATTACAATGGAATGAATGAAAAAACTTTATTTCGGTCCTGCAGGACGCGCTTAGCTCTACCTCAAGCAAGTGGGAGAGGTCCCTCAGGAGCTCACTTCTCGCCGACCAGCAATGGGCCGTCCAGCAGGCCCACGAAGCGGCCGCCAGGCGCAGCATTACAAGCAATTTTTTTTTAAATTTTTTGTGTGAATCAATTCACGAAAATAATAGGCGAAGTGAAGAACACACAAAAGTTTTCTGCTCCAAACAACACAATGCGAGAAATGTTAGCTTAAGGTTTCGATGAAGAATGCAATACGCACTTTACAAAGTGATAATGGCGTTCGTAAAGCAGCAACCAAGCTGAGAGGCAACGAACCAAGCGAAGACCGCGACGCACGCCAGGCACGTTATTGCAGATCTTTTATCGAGTCTCCCTCTGTCTGTGCTTCATCATTTAGCCTTACGAGCTGACAACGGAGTTTGGTGGTGGTGGTCAGATGGATGGACGCATAGAAACTTTGTTACTCCTGAAGTGCACGACTCAACGCTCAGTGGGCCAGATAAAAAAATGTTTAAATAGGCCGTATGTTGCATAATACGCTCGTTCTATTCCGGCAAAACGTCGTTCAAACTCGACTGTTTGGCACTGGTGGCTGTCTTCATTATCGAATAAATATAGCAGACACGCAACGTTCGGTTTAGAAACGAGCCCGACAGCACTAGACAGGAGAGCGAGAGCAGAATTTTGCTCACAGCTGACCGCTTGGATTCAACGCCGCCTCCTCTTTCTACGTCATCCCTCTTTTTATATATGGTTGCACTAGAATATGCAGCAGTACCGCCAGCGCCCTTTGGTTTTGTTACGACGATGCGCTCACGCACCGCTTCCTCCAGCCGCCACTCTCGTCTGCGGGAGCAGCTGAGAAGTGCGCGCTCTCACCGCCAGGGTGGTCGTGGAAACTCCAGTGCTGGTTCCCTCATGCTGGGGGTAGCCTAGGCATGCTACCGCGGTGGCTTTCTTTGCATATCCGTAATGTGCTAGTGACTTTCCCGCTGCGTTGTTACACTGATACAGCCACGGCCTTAACCGTTTTCCGGGTAATTACGCTGTGACTAATGCTGCCGATTGCATGTATCACTGCAAGACGCGGAAATGCAGCTGCCATATCATGAGTGTATAATTACACGCAAGAAATAAACATATAAGAAGCATTATAAGAAGACCCGAAGAACAGTAAAACTGCAATAAATAAATGCACACAACTACACACACAGTGCACAACGCAACATGGCAGTAGTTGCCGCATTATACTTGACTCCAGCATGAACTGAGTAAAGAAAAGTGTTGGCTACGTTTCCTTTCTTACCCGAGTTCGCACAGATTTTCTCCTACGCACTTCACATCGCTCTTTCGCGAAAGACAGTCACAAGCAGTTGCCGCAACAAAAACATAGCTGTTTTAGGTGCCATGAAAGCTGTTAACGAGGCAGGAGTGTTTGCTGAAGGTTTACCGCGTTATAGCTTTACCTAAAAAGAATTTTTCTAGATTCACCACTCTTCTGTTATTGTGCTCGTTAGAGATTTAAGCAATTTGCGAACGCCGCAAATAACAATACTAAGCATAACTGCACTTTTCGCAAAATCTCAATAATGCAGTTCATTCGAATACATGTACCGGCAGAAATAAAACCTAATAAACACGACCGGTGACTCACTTCTATGAGCCAAGAAATTATTAGCCCGCAAACATGCTGCGCAGCATTACAATGGAATGAATGAAAAAACTTTATTTCGGTCCTGCAGGACGCGCTTAGCTCTACCTCAAGCAAGTGGGAGAGGTCCCTCAGGAGCTCACTTCTCGCCGACCAGCAATGGGCCGTCCAGCAGGCCCACGAAGCGGCCGCCAGGCGCAGCATTACAAGCAATTTTTTTTTAAATTTTTTGTGTGAATCAATTCACGAAAATAATAGGCGAAGTGAAGAACACACAAAAGTTTTCTGCTCCAAACAACACAATGCGAGAAATGTTAGCTTAAGGTTTCGATGAAGAATGCAATACGCACTTTACAAAGTGATAATGGCGTTCGTAAAGCAGCAACCAAGCTGAGAGGCAAACGAACCAAGCGAAGACCGCGACGCACGCCAGGCACGTTATTGCAGATCTTTTATCGAGTCTCCCTCTGTCTGTGCTTCATCATTTAGCCTTACGAGCTGACAACGTTGCCGTCGCGTCGTCGGCATGGATGTGTACTTCTCTCGCATACAACTGATGCCAGATCCTGCCCGACCATGTGCATGCGAGGTGATTAAGACGGATAAGAAAGCCACAATCGCAGTCGCAAAGACACGTAGGCATATATAATGACCTAGAAAAGGTGTTGTAGTAGATAACTAGTACGCGCGTTTCCTTGAAAGCAGTGAGTGATGTGTTGCCATCTTACGGCTGGCGGGAAGCTGCAGCGTAGCGCTGTCGCTTTTGGCCAAGATAACCATTCTTAATTTTTATGTTACTCTATTATTATGCGGGCGCTTCTATATCATTTCAAGGTTGACCATGTTAGCGCCGTTTCCAGGCATGGCCGCTAGATGGCGAGCGCTTAATTGGAGTCACGAACATGGCGATGCTATGTAGTTAGGGTTCCGTGCTTTCTAATAGATAAAAAAATACAGATAAACACTTCCGGGAAAAATTCTTCACATTTCGGTCGGATTTAGCCGGCAAACTGCGCTTTTTATCGAACCCCGTATGACCCTGTTGTGTTTTTTATCACGCCCCGCCGCGGGGGTCTAGTGGTTATGGTACTCGGCCGCTGACCCGCAGGTCGCGGGATGGAATCCCGGCTGCGGCGGCTGCATTTCCGATGGAGGCGGAAATGTTGTAGGTCCGTGTGCTCAGATCTGGGTGCATGCTAAAGAAACCCGGGTAGTCGAAATATCCGGAGCCCTTCACTACGGCGTCTCTCATGATCATATGGTGGTTTTGGGACGTTAAACCCCACATATCAATCAATCAATTATTTATCGAAAGGACATGTTGTACGCGATCATTGAAACATCGGCCAGTTTGGCCGATATCTTTATTACCTCACGTCAACAATATCTCGTAGACCCCACTCATCGCAGATTAAACAAAGGGCTTGTCGCAAGCCGGACGTGACAGACGTCAACCTATACGCAAGGCTCACGGGAGCGCGAGACCAGATCTTGATGTGATTCCGTGTGTAATGTCACGCCAGACGCCATCAAGTATACTGACCTCGTAAGGTATGTTTACAATCATTGCAACAGGACCCCTAAACCACCCAGATGTCGAAATTCAGTTGTGGTGTTGGAGCAGTGTACGACTCTTCAACAACCACGTAGCCGCGCAAAGATTTTCCAAATGGTACCGTAAATAATAGTGAAGTTAGACGCGTATGATTACCCCCCCCCCCTTTTTTTTTAAGAAGCCCTCGCTTGTTTCCTTTTTTTCTTCGCTTTGCTGTGTTTGGAGACAGCATAGCGAAAAATAAACTCCGATAAACGTATATTTTTTTTTCTTGAAACTCCGAAGAGCCCCATCTGAGCTTCAAGAAAAATAAACCCCGAAAACACAGAGCCATAGTTATAATGCACAGTTTTGCCGACGTGATGTACATGACTATGCTATCCTTCATACCCTCTTCTTCTTTCCACCCTCTTCATCCTTACTTAACTTTCCGACGTTTTGCTATATATGATATACGACACCAAGATATGATTCCACAGATGCGCCAAGTTTTCAGTGATCGCTGGACACCTCTGGAGCTCAAGCGAACAGCTCTGCTGGTAAAAATTGTAGGTAAACCGTTTTCCTTGACTTGTGTGTCTGGTAGTGGCACTCGTACCTCGGGGTTGCTGTGTCGTGGTTTGTTCCTTAGGTTAAGTTTGTTTCTCACTCATTGCCAAAAAGAATCTCGAAGGCCGCGTAGAAAGAAGCGCGTCGTCTAGGTCTGCTACGCCAGGTGCCACAACGATCGCGGCTCCCTAGACTGCTTAAGAGTTAAGCATATTTCAGCAAATTTATTCACTTAACAGTAAATAATTATACTGACATTTAACTGGTTTATGTCTTATGTGAACGAATGATGAGATATTATATGCATTACTAATTTGAAACAGGGCCCTTGATTTTGTGCCAATGAAATTTTGAAAAAGCTTTCTGAACATTCGTAAAATCGGAAGTGCTGAACAGCAAGTGCTTCGAAGAGAAACAATGACATCTCTTGTGCCCCAAAAAAGGAATCAAGACGCAAATACTACGATCACTGAACTTCTGCTCTTTGACAGGCGACTTTAGTTATTTTAACAGACTGAAGAACCGGCGTACCCTCTGGTAGTTGGTTGAAGTAAAATCGGACGCAACAATGCCGCTATACGTACCTGTAAGGAAGTAGCAGACGACGGCAAGGTTGGCCGGCCATGATGCCCTCTCTCTGGTCCCCGGAAAGGCGCGTAGAAGCGCTACGTAGACTACGGCGGAGGAGCGCACCAGGGCAAAAGTGAACACGTTTATCCAGCTGCATGCCGCAGCAACCACCCAACTGCGAGTTGAATCCATGCTTATATGCCCCGGCTATTTTCACGATGTGATAGGTGCCAACCGTCGGCTCGGCTAAGTCAAGATACGACAGAGGGCTTATCGAGGGACTATATCCATTCGCCCAAGCCTCTTCTCCCTTCGCTCGTAAGCTGAGCTGAAGACCACCTGCGCATGAATAACACAATAAAAGATTAGTGACGTGCTATTAAAAGAACTAAAACAATGTTATAATCATTTCGTTAGACCTACGGGTTGATGCGAAAAAAAAATTACGAGTAAAACAGAGTGAAAAAGAGCGTCGATTCATGGAGCTTTTTTGTTTGGGGGAGGGGGGAGGAAGGCCTAATGTGAAATTAACAATAATGAAGTTATAAATAAAAACATAGTCGAGGTACTGGCGTCGGTAGAAAACAACTGGATTCGCCAGAGCAATTTGTTGCTATAGCTTTAGGAACGTGGTGAAGTATAGGGGTCAGTGCTACTCGAAAAACAAATGTAAAGAGTGCGGAATGTCTACTTTGCTTTTCAAGCAAAGTGACATGTGATAGAAATATAGACAGTGTGCTGCTGTGTCATGCCACAGCAGCACGACAGTGACGAGTGTCGCAAGTCATATGAGAGGACAAGTTGCTCGCCTGAGTCGCTTTGTCTTGATAATAATAATTATAACGAAATCAAGATGCAAGAGATAGGTATAGCAAGCAGCTCTAACTGGCCAGTTAGCTTATTTTCACCTTAAGACTTATCATTTGATGCTCAATATGCACTCATCATAAGCAAAACTATGTCAGGTCGATTAAATATTGCTAAGAGTTCACAGTTTTTCATTCAACTTATATATGCCTTGTGCGCTATTGTGAAGAACGCTGAATTCACCACTATGGTCAACTGCGTTCGCTATTGAATCTACAATCGGGACTTATTTGCACGATCTCATAGCTGAACGCTCCGTCAGTGCCAGGTGTTGAACCAACGACTAAGAAATTTTGTGGGCTCCGCTACATTCATATGGATGCCGATTTTCAGCGAATGTGTGTTCGCGTTTCTTCTGTAAACACCCATCCACTCCTTTCTTCGGCGAGGGCTCCCGACCTCTTGGCGTCCAACCTGTCTACAGCAGAGGGAATAAGCTGTTTTCCCAGCACCGAGCCTTTAACCGAGCCGGATATCCAACGCCGGCTGGTGGCCTGAGTGAGGACGTCGCTGCAAGGCATGGCCTAGTATGGCCTAGATGCCACAACTATACCAGCCTGAAAGCTGTCCACAACGCTGATTTATAATTTTCTTCACTTTTGGCTCTCTATAGTTGTCCAAGTTTTCTACCACCAGAATGGTGGTAGAAAACTTGGAAACAGAACTGCAGACAGTGGCGTAACTGGCGTTCTGCCTCACACTTATGTCGACATGTCGGCGCATTCTTCGCATTTGCACAATGTCCTTTTCGCTCTCTGTTTTCGTGTTGCTGCTGTGGACGCCTCTCCGCTTTTTCTTAGCTTTTTTTTTTTGTCTTTTTGCAATGTGAACGTGCTACGCCATCTCAGTGTTTTTTTGTTAGTTTTTTAACAGAGTAAGTGCATGAGTGATCTCCGCCAACTTTGTCGTCTCCGGTGGTTAGAGTAAGGGTGGGGTAAAATGAGACACGGAGCAAAACGCGACACTGTGACTTTGCCGACTTCTGTAACTAAAGTACAAAAAGTACTTTTCCTTGTTGCTCAATTTCAGCGATAGATGCTTGCAGTTGTCTACCTATTTAGGGGCGAAGCGGCTAAAGCCGTGGGTTTGTTCATGCATGTCTTTTGTGACCGGTTCGTAACCACCTCGTTGTGTAACTCACTCGGCAGATGGCGCTAGTGTGAGTGACAGACAGACAAACGGACGGATGGATGGACGGGTGGACCTCATTGCCCATGACTGCATCGTGCAGCACATGCCTTGCAAATACGCACTCAGATGTATCCATATGCAACCTACCACGACCCGAGGGACGTGCATAGACTTAGTGTTTGCAAACTTCCCACTGCATTCGTATACAAGAAACTCTCTCACTTCATTTCACGGACCATAAAGTCGTAATAATGAAGGGACCTCGCAATCCAGCCGCCATGACAATGAAGAAATGAAAAGAACAAGAAACAAAAAAAAAACGAACAAGCACAACATAAAAGTTGATTTATATAATACACGCAGTCTTAGGCCTTTTTAATGATGTAATGGGGTAACTTTTCACGGGGGAGGTACGGTTTACCGACAATATCCCCCCTCTCGAGCTTATTCGCCCACTTATCATTCATCCCGTGGATATGGCGTGACATTTTATGTGTAAAAGTTTGCCAATGCTCACAGTGTTCGCGTTAGAAAAAATTACGCGACTGGTGTCGGTGTGTTCGTGACCCGTCAAAAAGGGACGAAATTCTGCTTGACCAAATTTTCGGTTCAGTGCATGAAGAGTCTCCAACGTCAGTACAACTTACGTATTTATTTTGTTACTTTATACTACTGGCTACATACCACCAAAAGTTCGATTCATTTGGTGCACGGTGGCAAAGAGAATTTTTTTTAATTCGGGCACGCGGGAGGGGCAAAAATTAACCGCGACAAAAAGGCATCGAAATGCGTTGTCTTAATAAGACATCTACTAATACTAGTATTATTATATTTTTTGTTTAAGAAAGGTAGAATGAACAATAAAATATATAGAGCTTCTTGAGTGGGAAACATAAAAAAAGACACTGACTGCTGTTGAGCACAGTATATATACTCACTTTAATCGTGTAACATCGAGGCAAGGAGGCTCTCACAAGGTGCACGAAAAAATTTGAAGAATCTCCAGGACAAGCCGTTCGCGAATACGTCTTGTAATCAAGTTTTAATGAGATTTTTTGTCATACCGAAATTTTAAAAATAACAAGCGACTGAAAATCCGAAATTCGTCAGCTCACAAAACACAAAAAACAAAATGTGGATGTAAACCATATGTATGCGAACGTCCGTATGAATACATACATACATACATACATACATACATACATACATACATACATACATACATACATACATACATACATACATACATACATACATACAAACAAACATACATACGTACGTACGTACGTACATACATACATACATACATACATACATACATACATACATACATACATACATACATACATACATACATACATACATACATACATACATACATACATACATACATACATACATACATACATACATACATACATACATACATACATACATACATACATACATACATACATACATACATACATACATTAGCGAGAGCTGCTCCTCGAACAGCGAGCACCAACAATGCAACTATACAGGGTGTCATAACTTGAGCCAAGAATTTGAAAACGAAATACACTTCAGTGGCGAATTGAACCAAATGCGTACTACTCGCACTAGCCTGGAGGTACTCAGGCTATATTTTATCTCTCCCCATACTAACTAATTGTTAATTCTTAATTACATATTTATTAATTATGGGCTGGAAACCCAAAATATGAACACTGAGATGTAGAGCACTTTCAGAAACCACCGGCTAAATTGTTTCCTGTACGATACGTCTAGCGCTGTTATATATATATATATTTTCGGCGTTGTAAAGAAAGCCTATAGCAGCACTATAGCAGTGCGCTCGCGATTCGTCACACGGATTCTTTTCACATTTCACGGGCTTTGTTTACAACGTTGAAAAAATAACAGCGCGAGACGTATCGTAGAGGAAACAATTTAGTCGGTGGTCTCTGAAAGTGCTCTACATCTCAGTGTTCATATTTTGGGTTTCCATCCCATAATTAAAAAAATTAGGTAATTAAGAATTAATAATTAGTATGGGGATAAATAAAAAATAGCCTGAGTAACTACAGACTAGTGTGAGTAGTATGCGTTTGGTTCAATTCGCCTCCTAAGTGTCTTTCACTCTCAAATTCTTAGCTCAAGTTATGTGGGACACCCTGTAGAAAGTCCCGTATAACGACCAGCATGTTTATGTACACCATACTGGTAATTCATCTAAATTGACCGAATGTACGGTACGTCACCGACCGGGTCTTGGTTTATTGCAATAAACTGCTCAGGTCGATATATAGCGCCATGTACGTGCACGGGCAGAAGCTTCCTCTATTCGAGGATTCGTGTCAGAAAACGGAGTCGCATAGACAACCATCTCGTGAATTTCCAATAAACACCTCATGAATGGTCATTAAGATTAACTATCAGGTAGAACATATTCAAGGGGAAGGCCCAAGTGCTCTGGCTGACTTCCCCATACAGATCTCCGCCTCCAGTGGACTCGTACTACAGTTGTTGCTCCGTTCTGCTATAGCACTTGCTTTTCCCGGAACATTTATTGACAACTATAGTTCGTAATTTAACGCAGCCGGAAGGGAAAGGGAGTGGCTCATGCAGGCCGCAATGCACTGGCCCCGTCAGCCTTCTCGTTGTCGTCGCTGCGTTGCGAGGCCGCGGTCGACCCAGAGCGGTCAAAATTGTTCGAGTCTGGCAGAAAGGACAGCTCGGAATAAGTATCCTCGAACGAATAGAAAGGCGACATAAGCGGTGTCAGGGTCTCTCGCCTCCCACTGCCGACGCACGGTCGGTCAACGCTGACGTCTGCCACGCCAGACATCTCTGTGGCAACGGCCCCAGGCCTAACGAGATCTTGAGCCAGCTGGCTAGGGCCACCGTGCCTCATTTCACGGACTGCACCACACGAGACTTCGGCGTTTTCCACTCCTGGGGCTGCCGGCAGTGTCTGCAGACGTGGGCCTGTCAAAGAGCGACAGAGGCTAGAGCGCCGCCTAGCCTTACGACACTGGGAAGGTACCTCCGACTCGGAGCTCGCCGTCGCGTCCGCAGTGTCATGCTCGAATACCTCTGGCGGGTGCTCCAGAGGCACCACGATGGTGAGCGAGTCGTCAAACGAGACGGCCCGCGTTGACGACGTCACCCGTGCAGGGCTCGGAATGTCACCTGGCGCACTGGGTTCCCCAGAGGTCAGTCACTCGGGGTGGCGACTGCAGGATGGCGTTGTAGATGGACTCGAAGCTGGGTTCGACCAGTGTCGCGTCGATAAGTAACGGCCGGCTCTTTTGGTCTGCCCTGATAGACGCTATGCTCTGTGGTGAGGAAGTACTGAAGACATCCTGTCCCGGATGCACGTTCCTTAACATGCCTCCCGGAAGGCGTATTGCCACAGAGCAATCTGGAAGAAAGATGACGTGTTGCGGAGGTAGCGACGCAGGGAAATGAACAGTTGGTGCAGTCGTCCGTGCTACCGCTGCTTCCTTCCGCCCCACTTTGAAAACCACCGCTTCGTGAATACGCCTACGTTCGTGGTCGGCAGCTTTGACCGACGGCTTGACGAGGCTCTGACGCTGTGGCTTCCGGATAGCGCCCAGGCATTTACCGCCATTCTCCGTAAGAGCAGCTGCCTCATTTGAAGCTGAAAATAGCTCTTGTGACATTTTGGCTGCAGCCGTCTTCAAGCATGCATTCTCACATATCGGCTGGCCGGAGCCGTTTTGGTGGCTTGTGTTCAAATCTGATACCTGTTTATCCTGGAGTGGAGCTTCGAGCGTTATACACTGGCGCTGTGCTACGTCCTCATTGGCAGTAGCCTTAGGAAAGTCGACTGCGGTAAAGTTCCTGAGGCCAACCTCCGGCTGCTGAAGCAATATTAAGTCGCTCAGCTTGAGCGGCTGCTCATAACGATAATCGTCAGACGCCATCGTGTCCGCATCCTTTCCCGAAGAAACAGTGCTCCGCCGCAGCAATATCTCCAGTGTGGACTCGCTGCTTTCCAGGGTAACTCGTTGGACGAGGAGAGCTGAGGAGGCATGCTTAGGAGAGCTTCAGGGGCCACCGTAGAAGCTGTTGTACTGGGCTGCGATCGGTCATTGATTTGAACAGAACGCATTGAGTTTCGTCGAAAGTGGTCGCCGACCTCGCCGTAGGACGTCGTCCTGCGTGCTGACGCAGGTAGTGTTTGTTGCCCAGCATGACTACCCTCTTGACGTCATCTGTCCAGGGGCGATCCGTAGCCACGAGAGGGCCGATTTCGCGCCTTCGAGTCTTCCTGACCTGAGGACAGCCGGAATGACGCGCTGGTACCGGCTCCGGCAGTAGCTGCGCCTGAGTGCCACACTCGGTGAGCGAAGACGCGGGTGGCCACGAGCTCTGCGTCTGCACTGCCGACGACGACGTCAGTCGCGGCAATGGCATGCGGAGCTCGAGGCTGCAGTCGCCCGTCTCGTGAGACGACGCCGCCACGCTGTGCTCCAACCTCGGAAGGTCGGCAAGATCGGTTAAGCGGTGCGCGGCGTTGCAGCTGGAGTTGGACGATACAAACGAAAGCGACATGGATCCGGATGGTGGAAACGAGCCTTCGTCGGAGTCGCTCACCGTAAGCCGCGCTCTCGCAATTTCTTTTGACGAATTGTCGCTGTCGATAGAAGCCGTGGTCTTCGCCACCTTGGATGCAGTCTTGCCTTCGGACATGACCGAACTGGATACCTCGCTGCTCGACGATACGGCTTTGTCTCCAATCGTGGCGGTTACTCCAGAGCCAGCCCCGGAAGCTCCTTTCGACGAAGTCTCGATGACTGCATTATCGAGATTCTCATCATTGATGGCCGATCGGCTCGAGCTTTGCGGAGCGCTGGTTGGTGAGGATTTGTCCAGGTCCCTTTCAGTGCCCTGATCGCCAGCTAAAACACCGAGAAAAAGAAAAAAAAACGAGAGGTAAAATAATCGACCAGGACATTCAAACGAACGGGAAGAATGTCGTTAGATCAAAATTAAACAGCCAAAAAATAAAATGAGAAAAGCAGGTACGCCTTTACCTATATTTTATTTAGGCGGAATTTAGCGAAAACTGTGTTCAGGTACGATGACAACTGCATAGTGAATCGATAATGCCTTGCTTCATCGTAAAGTGCATATTTCTTCCCATTTATTGAGTAGCTCCATTATGGTAATTATGCTTAATACTGTTTTTTGGGGGGGGGTGGGGAGGGAGGGGCAATGTCATTTTTCACATACTTTCGTTTGTATGATTTGTCATTGTAATCTAACGCTTATGCTTTCTTTCAACTGCCATTATGGATGCGACTCGGTCTGTTTTCGCTGCTACCCGACTCATGTCACTCAAGTCACCCATGGCATTGGCAAGGCTACAATCACCCATATTGCCTCATTTAAAGTTGATGGTGTAATAATAATAATAATAATAATAATAATAATAATAATAATAATAATAATAATAATAATAATAATAATAATAATAATAATAATAATAATAATAATAATAATTATTATTATTATTATTATTATTATTATTATTATTATTATTATTATTATTATTATTATTATTATTATTATTATTATTATTATTATTATTATTACATAAACCTGCGTAACAGCTCGCGAGGCATCGGCGTGATCGACGGTGCAATGACCTCTATCTTGTAACACGGCATTCACGAGGATTGAAGCACCTATACTTACTACACATAAAGCATTTAGCTAAAATAATTTCAAATTACTTGTCTGGTCGTCTTTGAACGTAGAAGCCATCTCACTCTCCATGCTGGCGAGCACTTCCACGAATGGCCTCTCGGCAAAGTGCACCGGAGGCTGAAGCTGCTTCGTGATGTACTCCTGGAACGGCCTTTGCGCCGAAATCGACGGTGTGGTCTCTGATGCAGTGGACGACACCGATGCTTTTTTGCGGCGCACGCTTCGAATACCACCGGCCTCCGAGAACGTCAGCGAAATATCCTGCGGTCCTACCATCTCCGACGACAGTCCCAAAGATTCTCCAACCTTGGGCGGCCTTTGCGCAGCGTAAGCGGCACCGATATCGACCCAGCCGCGATAGTCTTGGGGCACACCGGCAAGTATCGGCTCTGGGATTCGCCCGCCTATCCTGTAGCGACTGCCCTTCGCATTATCGGTGCTGCTGCTCTCTCTGGTCGTAGACTCCAACGACGACTGCTCTGCAGGTGTCTTTTCTTGTGACTTCATTTTTCTGATCGTGCTTTCGAAGGTTTTATTCAGAGGAGACTCATGAGCTTCTGCGGTTGTCTTTCGCTTTTTGTTATCAAGCTTTTTACTAGATTCTGCTACTGACAGCTCCGAGGACTCTGGCTCTGCTGCATTGATCGCAAGTACCTCCACGCCAAGTGTTTTTAGCTTAGCGGCGGTCTGCTCCTGCTTAAGCGCTGCCCCGCTAACGTCCGGCTTAACCGGCAAATCATGATTCCGAGTTGATATTTTACTCAATTTGCAAGCGGCCATGTGAGGAAGCTGTTGAGAGGTGTGCTCAGAGAGCTCTTCTGTGCGTCCTGTGGTCACCGAGTCCGTTTTCAGCTTGCTGTTGATGGTGCCAGAGTGTTTCGCGTACTTCCGCTTGCGCTTGACGGGCCCGTGAACAGAAACAGTCCCGCTGTCTTCGACTGACGAAGTACGCTCTCTTTTGTCGTTCGTTTTTATGAGCCTAGAAAGTAGGCAGGCCAATTCCCCGACTGCTTCGATGCCTAGTTGCTCCCGCTGCATTTTCCCTGTCACACCAGCATTAACAAGCAGGCCTCCTTGTCTTACATTTTGACTGGGCGCCTTGGGGCCAAAAATTTCCACTGAGCCGACATCAGCATTCGAATCAATGAAAACTGTCGGTGTGGGCCGTCTATCGACGCGGTCATCTGCGTGTGGTTTTACAATTTTCAACACTTCAAGCGAAGCAGTTTTTCCGTCCGCAGGCTGCACTTGACACTCCCTTCCCTTTGCGTCGATATTGGCGCAGGTTGTTGAAGGTGCGACTGCGTCACGGCTTTGTCCAGTGGCGCTTGTCTCGGTCTTCTTGGCTTCAGCAACAAGTAGAGCCTTGTTCTGCCGTGTCCGGTCCTCTGTGACGGAACTTGTCAAAACAGGTGGCGACGATGAACGCCTTTCCGTGTTGGTCGAGCCTGTGTTCAGCGAGATTTTGTCCGGTTTTGTAGAGTAGCGGCTAATTTGTGGCTGGGTTTTCGCAACCCCACATTCTCGGCCCAGCTGCAAGGCTTTGTCAATAGCTACTTCGATTGCCTTCGGCAGTGCTTGTTCACCGTGTTCAGTGTCCCTCGTCTGCTTTTTTAACGGTTTGGTTGACGCAGTGAAACCGTGAACTGGAACATTTGTGCCGGAAGTCACTCCTGTGTAAATAAATGAAAGTAATTATTGCGTCTTGTTCAAATACAGTGAATAGGTGAAGATAGACGACAAACGGAGCACGCGTGCGTTAATTTTATACTGATTGTATGCACGCACAAAAGAAACAATCTAAGGCATACACGTGAAATATACAAAGATAGATTGCAAAAGCCAGATGGATACGGGACGGGTGGCAAGTAAAACGGCCAAGAACAAATCCAGGGCGCATTCGATCAAACATGGCGTGCTGGCAAGTAAAGGCGACACAGGCTTTGACACAGCAATAACCATTGCTGGAAACTTAATGTTTAGAATTGTCTCGTCTTCGGGTACCAGCTTGCCGATTTCCAATCTATATTGTATGGTATATATGGTATGGTATGGTATATATAACTTTATTGAAGTCCTGAGGATCAGTCCAGGACTGATGCTGGCTGCTCCTACGTCGGGACAGAGAAGCCAAGCCCCTCTGCCGCCACACGGACCCTCTGGGACAGCCCTGAGTTAGGTCCGCCAGCTGCGTCACATGTGCAGCATTCACTGCCACCACTGTTCACCGTGAGAAGCCGCACCGGCCATTGCCGAGCAGTGCCAGAGCATGTGTTCAAAATTGAGCAAGCCCCCACACTTACTACAATAAATCGAAACCCCGCAGTCCTGGATTAATTTTATTCATGACGAGCGGGTTGGGGTACGTCCGCGTCTGTAGAAGTCTTTATGTAACCGCCTGTAGCCTGTGGAGTCTAGAATGTGGCAAGGGGAATTCCCTGCGCTCTAAGTAATAATGTTTGGTTATTTCGTTGTGAAACGCTCTGAAAAACGAAGGAAGCGTCAAAGCAGTGAAGAGAAAACTTGGGGTAGGCAAAAGTCGGATGTATGCACTAAGGGACAAAGAAGGCAAAATAACTACCAATATGGATAGAATAGTTAAAATTATGGATAGAATAGTTAAAATAGCGGAGGAGTTTTACAGAGATCTGTACAATAGCCGAGACAACCACGACCTTAATACTATAAAAACTAGCAGTAACCCAGATGACACCCCATCAGTAATGATAGAAAAAATCAGAAAAGCTTTGGAGAGCATGCAAAGAGGCAAAGCTGCTGGTGAGGATCAGGTAACATCAGATCTGCTGAAAGATGGAGGACAGATTGTGTTAGAAAAACTAGCCACCCTGTTTACGAGGTGTCTCCTGACGGGAAGAGTACCAGAGTCTTGGAAGAACGCTAACATCATCTTAATACATAAAAAAAGGAGATGACAAGGACTTGAAGAATTACAGGCCGATCAGCTTGCTCTCTGTAGTATACAAGCTATTTACAAAGGTAATTGCTAACATAGTAAAGAAAACATTAGAATTCAATCAACCAAAGGAACAAGCAGGATTTCGAACTGGCTACTCAACAATTGACCACATTCATACTATCAATCAGGTAATAGAGAAATGCTCAGAGTATAACCAACCACTATACATAGCCTTCATAGATTACGAGAAGGCGTTTGATTCAGTAGAAATATCAGCCGTCATGCAGACACTGCGGAATCAGGGCGTAGATGAAGTATATATAAACATTCTGGAAGAAATCTACAGGGGATCAACTGCTACCATTGTGCTTCATAAAGAAAGCAACGGAATACCAATCAAGAAGGGTGTAAGGCAGGGGGACACAATCTCCCCAATGCTATTTACCGCGTGTTTACAGGAGGTTTTCAGAAGCCTAGAATGGGAACAGTTACGGATAAGAGTTAATGGGGAATACCTTAGTAACCTGCGCTTCGCCGATGACATTGCGTTGCTGAGTAACTCAGGGGACGAATTTCAACTCATGATTACGGAGTTAGACAAGGAGAGCAGAAAGATGGGTCTTAAAATTATTCTGCAGAAAACGAAAGTAATGTACAACAACCTCGGAAAGGAGCAGCGCTTCGAGATAGGTAATAGTGCACTTGAAGTTGTAAAAGACTATGTCTACTTAGGGCAGGTAATAACCGCAGAGCCGAACCACGAGATTGAAGTAACTAGAAGAATAAGAATGGGGTGGAACCCATTCGGCAAGCACTCTCAAATTATGACAGGTAGATTGCCACTATCCCTCAAGAGGAAGGTATATAACAGCTGTATCTTGCCGGTATACTTAGCTACGGAGCAGAAACTTGGAGACTTACAAAGAGGGTTCAGCTTAAATTGAGGACGACGCAGCGAGCAATAAAAAGAAAAATGGTAGGTGTAACCTTAAGAGAAAAGAAGAGAGCAGAGTGGATTAGGGGACAAACGGGGGGTAAGGATATCATAGTTGAAATAAAGAAGAGGAAATGGACATGGGCCGGGCATGTAGCGCGTAGACAAGATAACCGCTGGTCATTAAGGGTAACTAACAGGATTCCCAGAGAAGGGAAGCGGGTTAGGGGGAGACAAAAGGTTAGGTGGGCAGATGAGATTAAGAAGTTTGCGGGTATAAATTTGCAGCAGCAAGCACAGGACCTGGTTAACTGGCGGAACATGGGAGAGGCCTTTGTCCTGCAGTGGACGTAGTCAGGCTGATGATGATATTGTTGTGTGTTAGCAGCTGGTCCCTAAACTCCGGAGCGGGAGATTCAGCCGCCTCAAAGATTGCACGACACACTAATCCTCGTGCCTCCCTGTGCGCCACCTCGTTGAGGTTACTTGGGGCTCCCTCCATGACCCCATGTGCGCCGGAAACCAAGTAATGGTATGCGGAGTGATGTCCTTACCCTGAAGCTGGTTCGCTAACAAGTTCCCTCAAGAAGGCTTTAATTGCAAAGCGAGAGTCACTAAATACTGAAACTCTTTCCGAATCAATGAGTGTTAGGGCAATAGCTACCTGCTCAGTGACCTCCGGATCTTTCGTATAAACGGAAGCGGCATTTCGAACGCTCCCTTTCTCATCTACCACCCCCACCGAGTAAACATCTTTCCCGTTAATTCATGCTGCGTTAACAAATGCAGACTCTTCCTCCTGATCTTTTGCCTCGCGCAACAAAGCCCTAGCTCTTGCCATTCGCCTTCCTGCATTACGAACAGGGTGCACATTTCGCGGAAATGGACGAACCATGATATTAGTTCCTGATGTTCACGATTAACTCGCATAGGCACGCACCATCACGAGTCGCCACCGATTCTCCGATTGACTGTAAGATGTAGCTACTAGCTTGCGTATACCCAGCAACCGCTCTTTCTGTGCTATACGCTGAGCCTCGGCAATTTTATCAAGATTATTATGCAAATCCAGCCGCAACAACATATCATTTGACGTACTCACAGGCAAACCGAGCGCCGCTTTAATGGGTTTTCTAATTAAAGCTTGCAATTTGTCCTTATCTCCCTTTTTCCAATTTAGCATAGCAGCTACGTACGAAAAATGGCACAAAATAAATGCGTGAACCAAGCGCATCGCACCTTCTTCTACTAATCCTCTATGCCTGTTAGAGATACTTCGGATAAGTCTTATGGCCTCCTGTGTCTCCTTGGTAATACGCTGAATAGTTATATTGTTACGGTAGGGCACACAGAGAAACGAGGTGACAGCTTGTGATATATATCCCAGAATCACGTCGTCTGTCTCGCTGATCTATCTTGCTTCTTCAGCGTGATGTAGTCACTGTAACAATATTATTTGATCCACTTCCTTTAATTACAATACCAAGGACCCTAATAGCATCGTCTTTTTGTAGCAATGACCCATTGCTAGTACGAACTGTGATGCAAGTCTCAACTTCCGGTTATTCAGGCCTACGACCTAACTTCTTGGATTTGAAGATTAACAACTCCGACTTTTCAGATAAGCACTTGAGCCCATACCGAGCCAAACAGTTTTCCGTAAGCGTTACTACCTCCTGCAGCCTAACTTCAAGCTCTCCGTCACTACCTACCGACACTCCATACTGTGACGTCGTCCGCGTAAATAGTATAGCCAATGCCCTCGACAGTGTCCAGTACGTTAGCTAGCTTTGACATCGCCAGTGGCGAGAGTACGTATCCTTCTGGTGTATCACGACAACCCAATTTGAAGACTGGGGACTTGATCTCCCCCAACCTGAGACATGTCCTTCTATCCTCAAAGAATGCCTTAACAAAGAGAAAAAGCCGTTGACCCACATTCAAGTCTGACAGCACCTGTAGAATGAAGGAGTGTCGGAGATGGTTCGAAAGCTTTTTCCACATCAAGTCCAAGTAGTACCTAGTATCCATTGTCCACCTATCGAGTAGGTGATGCTTAATCTTAAACATGGCATCTTGAGTCGAGAGGCCGGACGAAAGCCTATTATTAAGTGCGGAAAGACCTCATTGTCTTCAACATAACGGGTTAGCCTATTTAAAATGACACGCTCAGCGACTTTCCCCAAACACAATGTTAGCGAAATTGGTCTGAGGTTTTGCAGCCCTACTCTCTTGCCCTGTTTCGGTATGAGAACAGTAGTCGCAAGTTTTCACTCTTCTGGGAAAGATACTTCCTTCCATCGGCTATTTATCTCCCGCGTAAGGAACTCAATAGACCCCTCGTCTAACTTCCTTAACATTTTATTAGAAATGCCATCTGTCCCTGATGCCGATCGACTATTAAGATCCTGCAATGCCATCCTTATATCACTTTCAGTAAATTCCTTATCCATAAATATATTCTCATCTCCACCACATTCCGAATTGTGGCCGTGAGCTAGTTCCTAATAGAGATTCTTTAGGCGAGTTTCCGTGTTTTATTATATTGGACTAAGCTAGCACTTTTACAGACGCAAGTGGTTCCCGTTCTGCAACGACTAATATCTTACCGGTGGCTTGTGGTTCAGCTTCCTTCGGTGCCTCCTTGGAGACTGTCGCGACCATTCGCGGATCAGCTTCCGCGGAGGTGTCTTGAGCGGCGTCACACTGAGCGGCAACTGTCGCGACGCGCAGTGGCTCAGCGGACACCGAACACCTCTTTGGCATGGTGCCACAGAGGTCGTCGCTGAACTGAGGCTTGAGACTACGGCGGCGCTTTAAGTCCTTCATGAAGGAGTCATCCGTGGACTCCGACGGAGGAAGCTCTCTTCTTAGGAGCGACACCACTGGTGGAGGACTCGGGGACGTTCCGAGATATCTGCGCTGACAATAGCACATGCCGGATACACCGCAACGTCTTCGGCTCTGCCCCAGTAGCTCAAATAGTGTATTGTTGGTGCTATGTATAGAAGGCCAATGTGGAGAGTACCTGTGCGCCTTTCGTATGAGTACTTCAATTGAGCCTACACAACTTTTGAGGGGCTGATAGAAGTTGAGTAGATTGCCCAGCTGCATACTATAGCCAGCATGTGCACAGGCCGTAAGTTAGGGATAAACTATCACACCCAAAAAGAACGTAAAGTATCGGTTCCAGGGGTGATCAGGGAAAGGTCCCAAGTCCCTATGATTGTCCTGAAAGCATGCTCCTCGAACTTAATCAGGGCAGAAGAGAAAGCAAAACTGTAACTCTACTCAAGCCCTATACGGCAGAGACAAGTGAGCGTTGTTCGTGGACGCAGCGGAGTAGCCAAGTCACAAAGCCTATACGTTGCGGCAGTAATAAACTCCAAAGTCTCACGGCTAGCTTCTTTCCGACTGCTTTCGCGTGGGGGCTTTTTCGTCGCGGCGTGTTTCGGGTCACTGTCACCGGCTCTCGGAGGCGACCTTCACCATAGCTCCCGAAGTTTCCCTCGTATAAGAGAATGCGGTACAAGTTGGGGACATGTGTGTCTCGGTATGGTATTGCTTCATTGAGCTCGAGTATGCGGGTTCCCTTCCGGATCACAGCGGTCGTATTTCGGCGGGAGAGCCATGACTACAGCGGTGCGCTCACTTTTGAATGCCCGTAAAGGTATTTGTAGGAGGACACTGTGTAAGAAAAATAATTTAGGCGAGGGCACTCTCTTCCCGCTGAGACCGGGAGCACGACCAGATAATGTCCGGCTTTAGTACATGCGCCGACCGTGGTTGCTTGGGGTTGCTGCGACATGGGGGCCTATGGAGTTACTGTACTTAAGACAGTACATACAGTAACTGCAGAGGCCGAGCGGAGGAAAGAGGCGAACATTATCTGGACGCGATGTCGGGCGGATCACACCTAAATAATTTTTCTTACACTGTGAGGAGGACGAACCATCCATTAACAACCAATAAACAAATTCCCAGTCCCCCATTTATGTCTTGATTTTGCATTTTAAACGTTATAAAGCTTAGTGTGGATCAAAGCTATATAAAGCTGTCCATATCTGTATCTTAGATTGAGCTAAGCGGACGTGCCTTGGCTTGTGCGTTTCGATGGTTACCACGACCTGCTGCTTGTCCAAGACCCTCTTCATATGCTCATCCTTGGGCTCAAGCATATGCATCGGTGGCGAGCTGCTGCCGGGCTTGTTGTAGACGAGCGCACCACCTAAACATCGAATGTATCAAGTGAAAATCTAGTGACTATAGGTTCACTCCATGCAAGTAGTGATGTATACGTCACTATACGGCACGTTTATTACAACATGAATACATTCTGAAACATCGTGTAAAAGTGGCAGCCTGTACCAGTCTTGCGCCAGTCCTGGCTGGGCAGCAGTTGTCCCTTGCGCGTGCGGCGCCACGGCGTCGCACGCGGGTCTTCTTCCGTCTTGTCGCTAACGGAGGAGTAGCTCCGGCGCAGTTCCTCCTGTGGCTCGCTCTCGGAGGAAGAACTACCGGCCTCTTGCACCGTCGACAAACGCGGGCTCTGCAACAATTGTAGCCAGACCACGAGTCATCCTTGGATAAATGTTAGGCTGCACGAAGCCCCGACCATTAACATCGTGATTAGAACACAAAACAGGTGTCTCCTTATTCATCGTCTTACGTGCGATCTAAAATTCACTATCAATTTCACCCGACTTCAATGTATGAACTCAGAACTGAAGATTATGTCGCATCCCTTGTGGGCGTTTACAAGGAGTGCTACCTTTCCACGCCATGTAATAATGATAATTGTGGAGCTCGTCATATTTTGCATTGTACTTCGGAATTTGTTCCGAAAGAAACTACTTACACATATTAGTCTCTATACATAGCATTACTGTACGTGCGTCTTCCGACTTGTACTGCGCCAAACATCTCATGGCCTATGTTCGTTGCCTATATGTTCATGGCTCATGTTTCTTTACCCATGTCCACGTTGCTTGCCATGTATTAGGGAGGCTCGGGTTCTCCTCAAGTGACAAAACGTCACTTTTCTCTCGAGCCTGCCCTCATCCTTGGGATGAAATAAAATTGAATTGAATTGAATTGGAAGCTTAGCGTCCCAAAAGCGTGATATGATTATGAAAGACGCCGTACTGGAGGGCTCCAGAAATTTCGACCACTTAGGTTCTTGTAGATGCAGTAAAATATTTCTCCAGCATATGATAGTACACTGTCCATCTCAGATGCGTTAAAGAGAGTCGCTAAGAGTTCCCGTTTGGTTCCAGGTCATGACGGAGCAATTTTCATGAGCATTTGTGCAAAGCTTATAAAAAAAAAAGATGCCGACACCATTTGTGTCAGAGCGTTAGCATATGTGAGGCGTTCGTGCCCAGGAACCTGTTTTGAATATGGGGCGTAAGGGTCAGCGTCTCCGTCTACGTTCGAGAACTGCGTAGTCAGAGGTCTGATTTTTTAAATTTTATTCTAATTTTAGTTTTATTGTGAGCTGCCCATTTGCCCTTTTGTTAACGTTAGTTACGTGACGGGACTTACATGCGTGAATTTTTCTAGCATAAAACAACCTCACGTTAAGACAACGATTGAGCTAAGAGCATATTAAACAGCTCCAGATCAATCCGCAATATTTTATTACAGCGGATTTCTCGATCACATCCCGGTTTTTGGCATATGAAATGAATGTGGCCACAAAACTTACCATGTGCGAGCGCAGACATGCATGCAGCAAGATCAGCTAAGAACACACAAACCCACGTGTTACAATGGCGCACTTGTGTATGAACACACCTTGTCACCTTTGGCAGCCTGCTGCCTGATGAAACGAGGCGGGTGGCGAGGCGGCATCGACGAGTCCCGCATGTACGAACCACCATAGGGACCGCGTGATTGTCGCAGCGACGACTCCTGTGCCTCACTGCTGTCGTCTCCCGCCGAGTACTCGTTGGTTATGTATGACGAGAGCCTGTCCTTGGTCAAGATGCAAGTCGTCGAAGACGTGGTCATTGCGTCTGTATTTCTCTTTAGTTTTCGCCTCGAATGGCGACTGCTGCTCATACTGCCGCTGCTGCTTGAACCGTTACGCTTGCGCACCATCCTGCACGCGTGCATGTCGAACATGTATATACTAGACAGACAGACAGACAGACAGACAGACAGACAGACAGACAGACAGACAGACAGACAGACAGACAGACAGACAGACAGACAGACAGACAGACAGACAGACAGACGGACAGACAGACAGACAGACAGACAGACAGACAGACGGGCAGACAGACAGACGGGCAGACACAGACGGACAGACAGACAGACACAGACAGACATAGATAGATAGATAGATAGATAGATAGATAGATAGATAGATAGATAGATAGATAGATAGATAGATAGATAGATAGATAGATAGATAGATAGATAGATAGATAGATAGATAGATAGATAGATAGATAGATAGATAGATAGATAGATAGATAGATAGATAGATAGATAGATAGATAGATCCTGGTGGTCGTCGCCAGAAAGGTCGTCACAATTTGTATGCAAGAAGTACGACCACGCGTGTGTGACCTTTGACGAGGAAGCGATTGCATTGGGGTGCCCGAGTGATAAATTTCTGTGTGCCGAAACATGACATTTTGTGTGTTTGACTTACTTCTGATAGGCATAGCCAGCAACCAAGAGCAGCAAAGCCAGGGCCAGCATCACGGTGAGGGCCATGGTAAACATGTCGCCTCCTTGATTTGATGCTGTCACGAGAGTGCATGGCGCATTTCAGAGCAGTGCTAAAGGTACTTGTGACTGAACGGTACATGGATACAATCGTAAAGCTACGGAAAACAATGATCTGCCCCACGCTGCCATATTAGACTCAATAATAATCATAGTGGGTTCAACACTTGCCGCGATATCTTCCACTAGCGGCATTCCGAACCCAAATTATCATCGATAAATGCCATGGTCTTCTCCGACATTGATATCACCCTAATTCAAGACCGTGCACGAATCCCTAAGCCTGACAATGGGAGCACACTCACGCAAGAGGCAAAGCCTCGCTGCTGTCAATTCGAACGGGTGCGAGCAGTTGCAGAAGGAGTTGACGCATTGCACGTTCGGGTTGCCGTAGTTGCACTCCAGGTTGCTGACGCACGCTTCATTGAGGTTCTTGGCTGCAACGTTCAAGAGTGCGCGTTCCTTATAGAAGTTGTGCATGTTGACTATTTTTTGAAATTATTAAGTTTGGATGCTTATAGTTATGGATGCTTGAGTTGTTAGAGTCGACGTGTATGGGTATAACGCAACTGCATGCAGTTCACAACACCATAAACCAGGGATGTTGCGCGTGTTCTCACCTCGGACACACCTGTGGACGCCACTCTCATTTACGTGGATCGGTGTCGATGAGGCGCATGCGCATTTTGAGGCGCTGTCCTCCTTGCTGCAAAACGCAGACACGTTACTTCAAGGACATCACCTTGACTAATTATACGCATGCAGCGCTATTCGCGGTGGCTCTTTTCAATTTGCACTCTAGCTCGCTGACAGTCGTCGGAGCTATGTATGCTATAGACGGTGCCTTGTGGAGTAAATAGATCACATGTAGATAAAGTGAGTCAGCTTCACACTGGTTGGCCAGAAAACTCGAGGCTATATATGGCTGATATGGTTAGCTTGAGTAGAGTTACTGTATATGGTACCTTTATGGAATAACTCTAAGCTTGGACTACCTCGCGTGCCACGCATAGAACGTATGCATTGGGAGTACCACGACAGATGGAGTGGACGCACCTGATACAGGCGAGACCGAGGAGAGCGTCGCACTGCCCTTCGTGTGCGCAGTCCGAGCCGAAACCGAGTGCCTTCGATCCTGGTGTCCCGTTGGAGACGTTGGTGCCGATTGATGTAGTAGCCAGTGCCGCCGCGGTAATGTCTGTTTGGTGAGCGATAACAATAAATAGGCATAAATCTATAGTGCCGTTTCATTACGCATGAGCATTCCACGCGCTGGCCGCTGTGAATGTATACTCATGGGGTTGGTTAACAAACACTGCCGCATTCCGAAGAGGATGGAAATAAATTTGAGTGGTGTTCAAATTTTTATGGAAACCATGACTAGAGCCATGACGTTCTCACGTCGTCAGCGCTTATCCTTCTTGGTTCTACACCGGCAGCTAAAAAAATCAATTGTCCTAATATCACCATATGAGCTAACAACGCGCGGTAAGCCCTCTGGAACAGCCATAGTGTCGAATTCACAAAGCCTTTTGTTTGATTCTTAGTGTTAGCCCCGCCACTGTGACTGAGGTACTCGGCTGCTGACCCGCAGGTCGTGCTCAGATTTGAGTGCACGTTAAAGAACCCCAGGTGGTACGGTGTCTCTCATAATGATATGGTGGTTTTGGGACGTTAAACCCCATATATCAATCAATCAATCAATCAATTCTTAGTGTTATTCACCAGTGGGCATGGCGCCCTCGCATATATATATATATATATATATATATATATATATATATATATATATATATATATATATATATATATTATATATATATATATATATATATATATATATATATATATATATATATAATTGCAGGGAATAAATTCTTGGACGCCGGTAAATAGTATGAATAAAAAGAAGACACACGTCGAAAAACAGAAAGGTTTCTTTACGTTTCGGCCGTGGGACCGGCCTTCGTCAGAATAACAGATGTAACAGTGGTGCAACAGCATATAAGCGCATACGTTTCGCTTGCAATAATCACGTGAGTGCAAACATCATAAAAACAAGTACAACAATCAGACATGAAATCTATATGGGGGCCCCCGTATCACATCCTACTTATAAGCAATAAAATAACAAGTCACGACACGAGCACAAGGATTACAGCTGGTACAAGCAATAACATCTACAGCGGTCACTGATGCAAGACGCTAAGTTTCCCCGTACTCTCATTTAAACCGCCTGCGATTGTATTGAACTTAAAGAGGATAAATGATTCGCGCACTTCCCTGTCATGATGCGTTCGGAAGCCAGACCCCAGAATCGTGGCTCTAATGTTGTCAAATGAGTGGCCTATTGCGTTAGCATGCTTTGATATTGGAAGGTGAGGAAGTGAAGAGATATCAGCGCTGTGATTGTTAAACCGATATCGGAAGGGTGTTTCGGTTTCGCCTACGTACTGCATTCCACAGATCAAGCATTCCAGGAGGTAAACTACATTACGCGTGTCGCAGTTATAGTCACCATTTATTTTCACGCTGAAGTTAGATGCGGTGCTGTTTGCGACAAGTGAAGTGGTCATATGCTGGCAGACTTTGCAACGAGGTTGTTGAAAGGACGGCAGCCAGTAGGTTTACTGCGTACGCTTTTTGACGACATGAGTATACGTCACGCAGATTTTGCGCTCTTCTGTACGTCACACGCGGTGGTTCTGGGAAAATTGATTTAAGTCGTTCGCTTTGTAGAAGTATGTTATGGTGCTTTCTTAAAATGGCATTTACGTGTTGCGCAGGCGCGGAAAATGTTAGAACAAGGTTAGTGCAGGAGAAGACCGGCTGTTTATTTTTGGTGCTTAAATGCGTTTTGCGGTCCTGGTTACCTGCCCTTTTTATGGCGTCATCTATATTCTTGGAAGGATATTTCTGTTTTGATAAAGCACTCCGAAGCTGCGCACAATTGGAATTAAAATAAGTTTTTTGGGAGCATATTCTTTTAAAACGAAGGGCCTGGCTATAGGGTATGCTGGTTTTTGAGTGCTTGACATGGTTGCTATTACAATGAAGGTACCGTTGAGTATCAGTTGAGTATGCTGTTGCACCACTGTTACATCTGTTATTCTGACGAAGGCCGGTCCCACGGCCGAAACGTAAACAAACGTTTCTGTTTTTTGACGTGTCTTCTTTATATATATATTGCTACGGGGCGCCACAAATGAACATTCTAGAAAAGAGGACGATGTTTAGCGTGAGCTCGTGCAGACCGGGCTCCATATTGTATGCCTGCCTGTTTACCGAAAGTAAAGGCATTTTTCAGACGCCTTCTCCCCGTAACATTTTGGTGGAGAGTGCGGGTCTTCCCACAGTCAACACCACGACGATTCTACGCAGCGGACGTTCCTTGGCTGCCTGTGCGATGCCTGATCAAGACGAACACGAGGATTCTTCGGAGACTACCCCAAGCGTGCTTCGTCCAACTACGCAGCCACCAACAGCACCGCATCCAGCTGCAACTAACCGCACCATCGTCCTGACTCAACCGCGTGACCCAGGCACATTTTCGGGCAGTGACAGTACTGACGTGGAGGAATGGCTTCAGCTGTACGAAAGGGTGAGCGCTCTTTACAACTGGGATCCGACGCTCATGTTGGCCAATATTATTTTGTACCTTGATGGTACAGCTAAACTTTGGTTTTCCAACCACGAGGAAGATATCACGAGTTGGGACATCTGTAAGCAAAAACTCATCGATCTCTTCGGCAAGCCCATCGGGCGTCGTCGTGCTGCGCAGAAAGAACTAGCGTCCCGACTCCAGTCTGGCACCGAGTCGTACGTCACATACATACAGCATGTGCTCGCCCTCTGCCGGAAGGTTGATGACAAGATGCCGGAATCTGAAAAGGTCGCGCACATCCTCAAAGGAATCGCCGATGACGCTTTCAATCTCCTCGTATATCGAAACTCATCGACCGTAGAGGACGTTATTAATGAATGCCGACGCTTCGAAGACGCGAAAAGTCGCCGCATCACTCCACACTTTTCGCGTCTTCCCAACACGGCTGCAACATCAACCTGCGAGGACGCCCGTTTGGCACCAGCCCATGCTGCATCCGACAATATCGTGCGCATCGTGCGCCACGAAATCGAAGCAGCATCTCCTCTGTCTGACCAAGTCCAGGCCCCTGACGACTCTCGCGCCACGATTTCCTTAATCAAGAGTGTCGTACGCCAGGAACTAGCCAACGCCGGACTTCAGACGCTATGCCCCGTTAACCGACCTGACTACCGACTGCCCAGTACACCTAATATGTCCCGCGGACCGAACAACCGCCCACGTTACCGGAACCCGGCAGAATGGCGAACTTCCGATGACAGACCGATCTGCTTCAACTGTGGACGAGTGGGCCATATTTCCCGTCATTGCCGCACTTCCTGGGGTTGGCAGCCATGGTCGCATTATGCCAACACCCGACGCCCACTTGCTGGCTCTCGGATGCCGATCTACACGGCACAAGATGATGCTTCGCCATCCAGGCCCGCCCAACCAAGCCGCTCTCCGTCGCCCTCTGGACGCATGTCCCGCTCAACTAACCGACGTCGCTCCCCCTCGCCCTCCTACCACCAGTCCTCGGAAAACTGACGGGCGCAGCTCCTAGAGGTGAGCCTGCTTCGACGACCCGACCCAAAATTCCTCTACACACGATACCCGGACACAACAACTTGATTAAAGTAAATGTTGACGGTACTTCTGTGGCAGCACTCATTGACACCGGCGCTCACATCTCAGTCATGAACTCCAGCCTTTGTGCTCGACTCAAGAAAGTGCTCACTCCTGCTCCGATCACTCTTGTCCGAGTAGCTGATGGTGCAACACCAGCGGTCACCGGGATGTGTGCCGCCCGTGTCACTGTTGCTGGACGTCATACCACTGTTCTGTTTTACGTACTGGACCACTGCCCACATGACATCATATTGGGACTCGATTTTCTGTCGGAACATTCCGCCCTAATCGACTGTTCTGCTGGTGTTGTTCAGCTCGTCCTACCACACGCCGTTGACCCTCCTGATCCTGCGCCGCCAAAGCTATGCTCCGCCGACTTTGTTCGCCTATCTTGTCGAGCTGTGACGTATATCGACGTCTCTTCTGATCCACCTGTGGCTGACGGCGATTATGTCATTTCACCTAATCCTACAGTACTCTGTTCGCTCAATGTTGCGTTCCCTCACACCATCATCACAATGAAGAACAACGTGGCATGTCTCCCTATTGTGAATTTTGGACTTTGCTCTGAAGTGCTGCCACGAGGAATATCCCTTGCAACCCTTGCCCCGGCCGGCGACTTCCACATATCGGCCTTAACAGAGGATACACCGTCATCTACAAGTATTCAGTCGCGCAGTACACTAGACTGCATAACTGGAATGATTGCCTCTGATCTCCCGGCCGAGCATGTGTCTGCGCTTCGTGGCCTTCTTGCGTCGTATGAAGA